TGAGTTTTCACACTTATTTTAGCTTTGGGTTTACACAGACGTACTGTTATAAGTCACTTATTCAACTGTGGGTACCTTTCTCAGGTTTTACCCCAATTCATGAATATTTAAGTAAATGCTCTTTCAGCAGTGTTACTTTTTGTGCTTATTTTCCACAGATACTAGAGTACCAAGCTGTTTTTAGTGTATTTACTCTAAAACACTGAATTTTTTATAAACCTGCAAATTTTCTTTTAGTCTCACAGCAATATTAGTTTAAAACATTTTTTAAACCGTTCTGTTCCAGAAATTTGCTATTTTAAACAGTTACTCAATCAACCCAGGTGGGTGAAAAGAGAAAAGAATTTGATGATGAGGAATAATCAGTCTTTCTTCAGAAAAACTGTCTTTGCTCCTGTATAGCTTCTATTTAAAATTAAATAGAGAGATATTTTATTTAGGTGGTAAATTAAACAGAAAATCTCTTTTTCCTGATAAATTTACTCTTATTTAGTGATTTTGCAATTAAACGTGTATTATCCTTCAAGCAAAATGAGTAAACTGTTCAACTCTGTGAATATTTGTAACTGTATCTGTTTTAAAAAGTTAATGTTTATTTTTGTACCTTATTTTTAAAGGATTAACAGTGAAATAAACTTTTTGGTGAATGCTTCTTTGCATAAATACCTATTACTTCTTAAAATGTAAGATAACAGTGTTTTATTCAGCTTTGAGGAAGTTTGTTAACTCAGAATTTGCCTTACAGAAAAATAAAAAGACGTTTAATTTCACTCTTTACCTAAAAAACGAAGTGAAATCTGTGATCTCACGTCTCGCCAGGAGATGTCAGTATTTCCTCAACAATTATAACTCCGTCACTTTTTGTGTTGTCCACTAGGGGTGCTATGACTTCCTGTGGCGTTCGGTTGACATCCTGTTGTTAGCCGCTTAGCTTGAAGTTAGCTTCGGCTAAACTCGGTCAAAATCAACATTTCTGAACGGATTTTTTACACAAAAGTGGCAAAAGTTTTTGCAATCAGACTTTATAGCTTGAACATGAGTGTTTGGGACTGATAGTAGCTTCATTTAGTGATTTTAAGCGTAGTTTTAAGCTCCGGTCGTTAGCTTGTTAGCTTAAAATTAGCATCGCTAGCTTTGTTTAAAAACATCGTTTTTTGGCGAATTTTAAACTCTAACGTAGCAAAATTTCAGCAAGCAGGCTTCGAAGCACTTGACCAGCGTGTCAAAACCACATTAAAGTTACTTTTCAGCTTTAAAAAGCAGATTTTATTTCCCTATGAAAATGAATTTCATATCCGGGTCACGTGACTGAAATCACCAATGGCAGCAGCGTAGGGTGAGAGGAAGTGACGTAGCCACGTCAGTCAAACCTTCAACCAATGAAAGCGCTACACAACAGTGAATTCAACCAATCAGGAAGCGTATTCTCCAGCTAGCAAGTTAGATTTAGCTTGAAATAGTTCGTCAACTTTTCGTCTTTTAAACCATCAAAATGCACTTTTTCTGCTAAAAATTGTAACGAAACAACTTCTAACTGTGTTCTGAGATGGCACTCAGCTTTTAAAACGTTTATCCATCTGTTCAAAATACTCGTTCAAACTGAACAGAACCGAACTGGTCACAGCCGGGTCTTAAAGCAGAACCTCGTACTTTTTAGACAGAATAACGTCTTCCACAGCTCATTAGCTCTTAGTTACACATAACAGACGTACCATTTCAGCTTACACAAGACTTATGACACAATTTCAGCTTTTAAAACATTGCCAGCCCAACGCTTAAACATGCAGCGTTTAGTTGCAGAGTGCAGCTCCAAGCGCGCAGCTCAGCCGCTGCGTAAACTTTACAGCTCATCAGCTGTTACTCTTTCACCATGCCAACACGTAAAATCAATTTACACACGGATTTAACAGTCATTCATGAAATTCGTACGAGCCACCAGTTTGTAGTGAGACGCGTGAGGTACGTGTCACTTGTTGTATGACAAATATATGGATATATATTTATGCATACTTTTCACGAGTTCTTCATTTTTCTGACTGTAAATGTCGTGCATTGAATTTAACAGAAATGTAAACAAGAGACGTTATTTATCTTTGACCCATCAAATGAATGGAATCATTTATTTTCAGAATCAAAGTTTAACATCAAACATTTACATTAATTTGGCAAAATATGAAAATAATAACAGACAGTTTCACAGAAAATGAACTTCAAATCACTCGGCGGTGATTTGAGGACTTTGCTTAAGATATTTCTAAAATATCTGTACTGATTTATGAGAGAGAGGTGGGTTTTAGAGTGAAAGGAGATTATCTTACAGAGAACTGTGTGAGGGAAGTTTAATCTGTTTAACCAGAAATTGCACGCTCCGTCAGATCCTCAGCCCGTCCACGGTACACTTTAGTCGAAGAAGAAGCCTTTACCTGGTTTGACGATAGATCAGCTCAGTAAGCATCCTTCAGACTGTTTCCAGCGCCTCCGTTAAGCACAGCTAAAAATCCTCGGAGAGTCGTGCGTGGTTAGCTCAAAACAGACTTATAATCCCAAACGTCCCTGGTTCTTCATAACTCCAAACTCTTCATAACCGGCTGCACTCTCAATCTGCTCATTCTGTTGGACTATCGGACCTGTTGTCAGCTCTCATTCCAACATCTCTCAGAACTCTCATTCTCTTGGAATTCTGGAATCCATAATTCTCTATTCCTTCTCTTCTCTATGAACTGAGAAGTTGCCACATTTTATTTGGGTCGACTTCCTGTTCAATTTAGAGCTTTCTGATTCGTGGAAGGACCAGAAAGAGGAGTGGATTTGTGACGTAAGATGTTATCATAAGTCAAGGATTGTTTACAACATACAGAAAAGATTATTGCAGCAACAGCAGACTTCGTGGAGTCTCACACTTTGTAATCTTTTCAAATAGTAAAACATGACATTTTTCTCGGTAAACATTTTAGTTGACCGAAAACCAACCTTTAACATACTTACGACAGCTTGCTCATTTCAGACAGAAAATCAAGAAAGGCATATTCAGGTGATTTCTTCTCTGAATGAGGAACAAAAATCATTACTTACTGTTTATGTAAAAATAAAAATTAGTAGTTCTTTTCAACCTGTAAAGCATTGAGTGAACTAACACAATTTGATTATCAAAACATTTGTAAGACAGTAATGATTATAAAGAATTGTCTTTTCTGCTTGATTAATTCAAGAAAGAAAGTTCATCAGATGGTTCAGACTTATTCAGATCAATGAAAATAACAGTCTCTGTCCATCTGGTAGATTTGAGGTTATCTGGTTCACTACAATATTTGGAAAAAGCGTTGGTATGCCTCTTAGTTGTTGAAGGAAAATGAGTGAGGGATGGCGAGTTCTTTCCAGGAACAAAATCAATGTGTTTTAGTGGAGCTGCTTCTCTGACGAAAGGAAGAGCGTTGGGTGTAACGTCTTGAATAATTGATGTCTTTGTTGCTCGGCCTCTAAAGGTTCCCAGCAGACATCAGTATTATTCAGACGCGAGAGGAACTGTACGTTGCTGTTGCATGCAGTGTCTTTTTATTTTAACAATAATTGGGCAGCTTGAAAACAATCATTAAAGAAGCCATGCAAATGAACGTGTATACACAAGTGGTTGACATATTCCGACTGGTTTTTATCTAAAGCGCTCCACTAAATTGTATTTTCAGCTGTAAAACTAAACCCTATTCATTCTTTTATTTGATCATTTCTACCGAACCAGCATTTTCCCTTAAGCTACAAACTTATGAACTAGTATTAGTATGAACTAATTCAATATTTAGCACTGTTTAAGGCAGATATACCTCTCATTTTCTAGGTTGACTTTGCAACTGTAGGTGTTCTGGGTGACCTTTACTGTGACAAACAGGATGGTTAAGAGTAGCTCCACACATGAGCAGAGTGTCACTACATCACTTGAGTTTTTCCGTGTCTGAGTTTAACGAGATGGGATTTCTGGTGTTTTCTCATCTACAGATTTATAACACAAAATCTCAAATATTGCAGCTCTGTACTTCTCATCCCTGCAACTGAGGGGATTTGAGAGATCAGTTTTTCTCTGGGATGATTTAAGTTCCTTTGTCAGTTTTAGAGGTAAGAGTATCTGTAAATTAAGCCAAAGTTGCCCTGAGGGATCATGAAGAAGCATCTCCACCTTTATAGGACTGGTCGTGTCAATGACGACAGTGACCCCCCCGCCATAGCACACGAGGTCGATGAATGCTTTGATTTATATTATATAATTTAAACAACCTCCACGGACACAAACACAAATGAATACATATGGGTTATTTTACACTACTGTGTTAACACCACTGATAAAACACCAAATACACAATATTATCTGGACACATAATTATTGTCACTAGGACACTTTTTCTCTTTCTGTAAGCAAAGCCAACGTTTGCATTAGACAAAAGTTTGACCACAATATCCCACCAACAATTTCAACATGACACATAAATTTAGCTTGTAACCAACTTCCTGAGAAATAAAAAATACTCTTTTACCCTCTGCAAACCAGCTTGCACTCCTAGTTCTTTGTGGAGATTCCTCTTTCTATACTACCAAAATCAAATGTTGATTTCCTGAATGCCATTGGAAATTGTGGTTTACTCGTCTGAATGGTTGCCACAGATGAAACTGCAGTAATGTTTCTAAGAGATATTACCGTATTTTTCTGCATATAAGTCACAGTTTTTTGCATAGATTTGTCAGTCCTGGGATTTTTACGCCGATGTGACCATATACATTTTTTCCATATTCATAATGCAATTTTTGACTGACGCTTTAAATTTCGAAGGACTACAACAGCGAGTCCTCCCATGCGCGCTCGCTTCACTCAGTGTGTGCAGGTGGAGGAAAGCTGGAGAGCTAGCGGCCCTGGCTGTGATGGATGGATGGATGGATGGATGGATGGATAGATGGTGCTGTGCCACCCAGATGAAATGAAGCTATTTTGATCATTAAAAAAAGACATAATAAACATGACGGGTCAGCAGTGACGCATAATAAATGCGACTTATACGCCGAAGCAACAACACCAGAAAATACTGTACTAGAATATGTGATTTTAAGACAAAAATATAGTATATTCAGTTTTGTCCTTTTTTATTTAACCCTATTTTGGTCTTGGTTGAACATTTTCTTTCTCCTTTGTGCTTCTTGTGTTTTGACAGTTGGTTACACCATGAATGACTTGATCTTTGAGTGGCTGTCTGACAACCCTGTTCAAGTGGCCGATGACCTGACCCTCCCACAGTTTGTGTTGAAAGAAGAAAAAGATTTGGGTTACTGCACAAAGTACTACAATACAGGTGCCTTGTGAATTTCAAAGTGCTGAAACGAGGACTTCTTAAATTTTATCTCATAGACTCCTTAATTGTTTTTATTAATACAACATGTGACTTTACACTTTCTTTTGTATTTCATTCCATTACCCACACATACAGTAATTGAATAGACCATGTGATGTGTCTGTAGGTAAGTTCACCTGCATTGAGGTGAAGTTCCACCTGGAGCGTCAGATGGGTTACTACCTAATCCAGATGTACATCCCTTCGCTCCTCATTGTCATCCTCTCCTGGGTGTCATTCTGGATAAACATGGATGCTGCACCAGCCAGAGTTGGTCTGGGTATCACGACTGTGCTCACAATGACCACACAGAGCTCTGGCTCCAGAGCTTCACTGCCCAAAGTGAGTCTGCATACTTTTTCCGATTTTATTCACTCAAGTGACACTTAAATCACAACCCCATCAATGTGCAGGCCAGAGGTTAAATGCAGTAACGGTCACAAAAGCTGAAATGCTGCTTTACTTTTAATTAAACTGAAGTAAATAGTAGTTGCATAAAACAAATTTATTTTGTGACAGCGTATGCAAGATTAAATAGTATTATACTGCCATTGGCTAACAAAGGTATATGAAGGAAATAAACATGAATAATAAATCAGACAAAAACAGAGGCAAGCATTTCATCTCAGTTATAGACCTGTAAGAGGCATTCATGCTGTGATTTCCCAGGGCTGATTTGAGTAAATAATTTGGACCAGGATTTGAATAAGTGCAAATTACTAGGAAGGATTTAGTCATGAGATGCTGATGTTGCATGAGGCAGATCCTGATTTATGATGTGGCTAGAGAAAATAATTAGGGAGAGCACAATAGATGTGTAATTTAAAAATGATATAATTTAGCGTGTGTGACAGTCAGCAAAATGCTGCCTAATTGAGTGAAGCTTCTATGCAAAGCATGACCACAGCTGATGTAATGTGACATACTGTTTCATGAATGACACAGCTCCTTATGTCTCGGCTGTGACCTGTCTTATGTGGGTCAGCTGCCCACAACTCACTGACTCATTTCAGTTCTAGGCCATGCTAAAGATGTGTGCCACTGAGAACGAGAGCTAAGGAATGGGCGGATTATTAACGATCCACAAATAATACATCAGCTACATTGATTGGCTATCGATCTGTTCACAGGTGTCCTACGTTAAGGCTATTGACATCTGGATGGCAGTGTGTCTCCTGTTTGTGTTCGCTGCCCTGCTGGAGTACGCAGCCGTCAACTTTGTCTCGAGACAACACAAGGAGTTCATCAGGCTGAGGAAAAAGCAGCGGCAGCAGAGAATCGTAAGTGTAAAATGTGCATAAGCACAGTTAAAAACTCCCACACTGACACTATCTGTATCAGATTCTAGAGAAGTAAGGTAAGCACACACATACAAGTCCCTGCCAGGTCCTATAACACTGATTTGTGCTTCTTGTTATTGTGGCGTGCTGTATATTCAGGCACCGGCAACATCAACACGCTACAGCTGGTTGTCATATTACATGAGGAAGCTCTGCTCATTGCAGCTCAGCTCATTTCCATGCTGGTGCACTGACCTGTAAGCATCTTGTTGAACCTTTTTATGTGTCGCTGCATTTTACACAGAGACCCAGCCGCTCCACCAGCATCTGGCACTGGGATCCCCAAACCCTGCTACAATGGTTTATTCATAACAGAGAAGTGTTTCAGAGGAAATTGTTGGCAGGTTTATTTGAATCTTACAATGAGAAAATAAATGTTGAAATTAGGCTCATTCATATTTGGTTCTCATCATTGTGCTGATGGTAGCATCTCATTGAGTTGGGGCTAGTTGGAAACTCAAATATGACTCGGTATTCTGAGAAAAAACACAAATTTTCTGTTGCAGTTTCACTGGATTCTGAGTGTTTGTTGACCAAGTGACCTGCGAGTCGTGCAGCCGCATTTTGGACAACCACATTTTGAAAATCAGCCCTTATTTTCAACGTTAGCTTGCAAAAGTGCATTCCTCCAGAGTTCAGCCCTCACATAAATTATTACAGCTGCAGCATATATAAAGTAGCACACTCAAACGTCATTACAGAAAACATGTCGAATGAACTTAAAGCACTTCACAACACAAACATGGAAGATTTTTTTTAAACATTAGGAGCTAAAACATTTATTTTAGTGTCAAAGTTCAAGCTCAATAATCCAGGTTAAAAAATCCAACAAAGGTCAGTCAGGTCATCTGGATGGTTTATTTATGTTTTGTTGAGATGGTTCATCCTTTATCCAAATGACTTAATCAGCCCAAGGAGCCAAAAAAAAATTCAGTCCCACAAGCAGCACACTCCCATAGTGGACCAACCAGTTTACTGGTGATAAGATGGTTTCTGGGGCCTGCCCTCTCCACCATTGACTCCTCTGAGGCAGCCGTAGACAAAGTGGTTCAAAACATCAAAAATCATGCTCAATAATCCAGGTAAAAAAATCCAACAATGCTTAGTCAGGTCATCTGGACAGTTTCTTATGGATTAAAGCGCATGAACTTTGATGTTTTGAACCACTTTGGTTATGGCTGCCTCA